GGTGTGACTAAACGCCGAAGGCGCATGGAACGCTGTTACCCTCCCACCAAAGGTGGTTCCTATTTTTCTACCTGCATTTTACATGCTTTTGAACTGCTAGGTTGGCAGAAGCTGGGACAAGTAATGGGCGCTCACTCCATTATGCGGCGCTAGGGATTCTAACAGCCAAACTGCCAACCTTTCTGGTCGACAAGCTCAGCGTCTTAGCCACCAAGCCACCGCGTCCCTTTATTTCTGAGACACCCCTGGTCCAAACAAACACGAATCCTAACCAGCAGCCCATTTTTGGCGATGGAGATTAGAAAGAGAGTTCATGAAAAGCAAGAATTACCAGGGAAAAGGTTTTTCAATTTTCAAGAACAGCGTTTAATTGCGAAGAAGAGATAATGACATAATCTCTTCCCCCAAAGGAAAAAGATTTCAGTTTTACATAAAAATGGAGGAACGACAAGCAAGAGCTTCAATGAAGAGTCATAATCGGCTGCTTTTCAGTCACAAGAAAGTCAAGGCTTTGTTTCTTTTTTTTTCTTTTCTTTTTAAGGCGAATAAAAGGGAATTGTTGAGACTCAGAGCCTGCCAGTTTACAACTCAGCATTCAGGGAATTTCACAAGAGTTTCAACTATTAAACAGCCCAGAGGTACAAGGCGGCACCAAATGGCACCACAAGAAGATTGGCTCGCAGTCCGGTGCAAAGCAGTGCCAGTAAGAAACAGAGAGAAAACTCTAGTGTGAATTTTGTTGCTCTCTCCAGCAGTTCCTCAAATACACCAAACACCAAGACCATCCATTTCAATAAAAGTCAGAAAACAAGGACTAGCCGAAAGCTTAGCTTTATCTCCGTTTCATTCTGTTGAGTACAAATGTTGCAAAAATTCAAGGCTAAAGTCTTCCATTCTTCAGGGATAGTTTGGACATTTAAATGAGCAGAATTCTGCTATCGCTGGCTAAATCCCATTCTGGTTTAAGCTTCTGCTTTCTATGTGGCCAAATAAAGGAGAAAAGGAAGCCCAATTCACCACTTTGCAGTCCAGACTAGCAAGACCAATAAAGGAGAATATTTGTAGGACAGGTTGTCTCAAAGGTATTTTTTCCAAAGACAACTAGACTATTCCCTTGAGGAAAATAGTTCTTTCTAGATTCTGAGAGCCAGGATTTCAGTTCTTAGATGCATTGTGAATATATTCTGATGTCTTGCAAAGTGCAAAATTATAGGCATGGGTTTAAATAGGAGGATTTGATTTTACCCTCTCTCTCTCTCTCTCTCCCCCCCCCTCTCCCTCACCCCCTCTCTCCTCTCTCATCCACCCCCCCCTTCTCCTCTTTCTCTCTCTCTTGCCAGTCTAGCACTGACTAGAAATATTGATGGTATCTAGTTTGGGTATCAAAATATCTGCAAGAAAACAACCAAGTTCAGAGAGCACCAAGGACCCATCATTTCAACTCTGAGCTACAAATATCTATAGAGATTCTCAGTCATCCAGGTCATGGTTGTCTCAAAGGTGCTTTTTCAAAAGCCAACTGGATTATGTTTTTCCCCTTTGGTGGAGGGGAGGTCAGAACTAATTCTTCCATCTCTCTCCCCCATCCCTTCCAGGGAAAACTGGTGAAGCTTCATGGATGAGAAGCGAAACTTGTTTCTCAGCAAGTACAAGTTTTTAAGCATAGATATTTGAGAAACATGCAGCATGATGTCTCAGTCCGTTTAAAAGACCGAAACACTCTCAATGTTTCCAAAGCTATTTTGATGCAACCTGTGGTGTTGGATTTCCCAGATTAAGTGTCATGGAAACAATAGTTTTTCTGTGGTCTGATCAAAACCTGCCAATTTTGACAGATGACTCAGAGCTGTACTATAATGAGAGAGGAAGTAAATCTTTTTTCAATTCAATGTTGATGCCAGACATTACCGTGTGAATTCTTATGGTACTTCTCTTTTTTTTTTCCTCTACAGTAAACAGAAATATAGAAAACTGATGGCAGAAAAAAATATTCCAGTAATCCATCAAGTCTGCCCGTTGAGTGTGTTGTTTGCTTTCTTTTTATTTTGTTATTATATCTAATTATTATTGTTATATTTTATCCATTTTTATTTCACTTTTATTTTTTGTCAGATGATGGACATGTGTTTGTCTCAAGCATGTTTAAACTCAGTTACTAATGATTGACCTCTACTTTTGCTGGAAGTTGGTTTGAAGCTCCAACTACTTTTTCTTTTGAACTTCCCTCTTGTCAGTTTGAGCTAATGCCGGCGGTGTTCTTGATTTTTGCTTCATTTTGAAATTGACTTTCGGTGTTTCAATTTTGCTTTGTGTGGAGAGTGTTCCTTTATGTAAGTCACCTGCTTGCCAAGCTAAGGAAGAAAAACAACTTAAGAAATAAGAGGAAAACAGAGACAGTGGTGAAGAATTGTGCAAAAAAGAATATGACCAAGTAGTGCCCTTCCGAGTAGCCATTTCTACTGAATTAAGGGTGGTTACATCATTTTTCAAAGAAATTTGCATCATCTGTCTTTTTTCCACCACAACCTTCAAATCTGCTTCTAGACCAGGGGTGTCAAACTCGATTTCATTGAGAGCCACATCAGGGTTGTGTTTGACCTCAGGGACGTGGGCGGTGTGGCCAGAGTAGGCGTGGCCAGCTTGACCTCACTCGTGTTGGGGGTGTCTGTGGTTGCCCAAGCGCTCTGCCAGCGAAAACGGACTCCAGAGCTCCATTTTCAGCTGCAACGGCCTCCTGCCATCCTCTGCCAGTGAAAATGGAGCTCGCGGGAAGGTGGGGGCGGCACGGGGTAGTGGTGGCAGGAGGCCATTGCAGCCTGGGAGGGCTGCACACAGCCCTCTTGAACTCCATTTTTGCTAGCAGAAAATCACAGGCCAGTTCTTCGCTGTTTCTAGGGCAGATCTAAGCGCCCTGTAAGCTGATTCCAGCCCTAGGCCTTGAGTTTGACACCCATTCTAAACCAAGAAATCCTTGTGTGTTTCACATTACAAACAAGAATCATTTCACATATTAAGAAGATGGGCAGAACTTTCGCTCTAGTACTTCTCAATGTGGCTGCCTAAAAGAATGATGGTCATCGGTCACAAAAGGACCCTTCGAAGTCAATGGGGAAAACCAATTCTCTTAACAACCATGTTACTAACTTAGCAACTGCAGTGATTCACTTCAGGGTGGCAAGAAAGGCCGTGCAATGAGGCAAAACTCACTTAACAACTGTCTTGCAATGGAAATTTTGGGCTCAATTGTGGTCGTAAGTCAAGAACTATGTGCATTGATTGTACCTAGCAACACACATAGCACACATGAGAAGGTATAAAATCTTCAGAGAAAAAGACAATTAAACAAAATAAATCCTATATAGATGGAAGGAGGGCAGGAGCAATATATATAAAGGTATCTTGTCTTTTTATGTACACTTAGAACATATGCATCAAAGACAAATTCCTTGTGTGTCCAATCACACTTGGCCAATAAATAATTCTATCCTATCCCATCCCATCCCATCCTATCCCATCCTTCTAAAACCAGAGGGGAGAGCATTCATCCTAATACTGAAGAGGGCATTAAAATCACTAAACATTCAATGCAATAACATAGTCCAATGTTTCTCAATCTTGGCCGCTTGACGATGCGTGGACTTCAACTCCCAGAATTCCACAGCCAACTGGCTGATATAGTTTATTGACTATCTCAAACACAGTAAGATAGGGGAAATAAACAAGTAATAAAAGATAACGCAGCCGTGTTTGATAAGCCTATAATATTAATGTTATCTGCATATTGTGGACTTTATTGTCAAGAACCGGCAAATACCACCTCTGGCTGGCCCCAGGAGTGGGCTGGGAATGGAGATTTTTGCAGTATTCTTCTCCTGCCACACCCACCAAGCCACGCCCACAGAAACAGTAGTAAAAAAAATTGAATTTCACCACTGCCCAGGAGGCTGCAGGGAGGCCTGCTAGGCCCAAAATGGGGAGCGTGGGGGGGAGGGGTTGCATGCACATGTGCAGGGGGCAGGGTACATAGGGGATGTCATGCATGCATTGTATTATAGGTGTGGGCACATGGACGCACGCTATTGCATGCACGCTTTCAGCAAGCAAGGACAAAAAGGTTAGCCATCACTTTAATGTAGGGTCTCCTGTTTGAGCAGGGGGCTGGACTGGAAGACTTCCAAGGCCCTATTCTGTCCCGTGCTATCAACAGGTACTGCCAAATGTATTAGTTTTTTTTTTCTTGCTGGAGATCAATAACAAAATTCTTCGCATTGTCAGGCACAGGCTGACAATTGTAGATGTACAGCTACTACTTTTTACCAAATCATATCGTTTAAACTTGTCTCCTTATATCATCCTCATCTTCAAATTGACTATTTCCCAACATTTCACAACCCAGACATCCCTCAATTAATGACCACAATGGAGCTCAAAATTACTGCTGCTAAGTGAGACATTTGTTAAGTGAAATTTTGCCCCATTTTATGACTTTTCTTGGTTATTAAGTGAATCACTGCAGTTGTTAAGTTAGTAACACAGTCGCTAAATGAATCTGCTTTCCCCATTGACTTTGCTGGTGATAAGGATGCAAAAGGGGATCACGTGACCCCGGGACTCTGTCATAAATATGAGTCAGTTGCCGAACATCCAAATTTTGATTGTGTGATCATAGGAATGCTGCAACAGTTGCAAATGTGAAAACTGTCATAAGTCCCTTTTTTTAGTGCCGTTGTAACGTTGAATGGTCACTAAATGAACTGTTGTAAGTAGAGGACTACCCGTATTTATGGCTTTCTTTCTGAACACATTGTATTCTTTCACGTTTTATTTCCTTCAAAGAATTTCTCCTCCCATCACTTTGGGCTTCATCCCAAATAATTTCATTATTTGCATTCCATTCGTTCTGCTAGAGATTTCTTGTTTATCGTCTTCACCCACTTCCCAAATTATCGCTTGTGGCTATGAAAATAACTCTCTATTTTCTATCTTTTAATCTTAATTATGCCTTATTCTTGTTTGCCAGTCTGTTTTTCCACGCACATATTATACAACAGCTTTCTCTCATTTTCAATTTTTCAGTCCATTATTCTTTGATGTATAGTTTATCCCCCCACCCTCCAAATCCTCCGTTTCTGTCATTTCATCATTAGAAGAGGCACAAATTTGCATGCCTCCTACTATCACAATTCCAAACATTTCTGTGGGCTCTGTAACATAATGCATCCCTGTCCATTCCAGGCAGCTTCCACACCCTCCTCCTTCACGTCCACTTTCTGCTCGTTTTGTAAAGAGAGGAATCAATTTTCCAACATTCTTTTCTGGGACTCGTACCATCTCTTCCTACAGTTCTTCTACTCTCGTTATAGTTTAGCCACCAAATCAAATTTATTACTACGATCAAGGATCGAGATAAGAAAGAAAATCAAACCAGAACAATAAAATTAAACGAAACCAGATTGGCAAACTTGTCACATTGGTAGGTATGGTTGCCATGTTTTCACTGCCGCCTCCCAGGATTTGAGTGCTGGGTTGGAGATGATATTATATATGGCTAAAGTTAAATAAATAAACAAACAAATAAATAAATAAATAAATGCAAACACACACAAGGTGCACGCATACATACATAGATATTATATAAATGAATGTAATGTATCTTCCCTAGGAGATGTTGCAGCAATGATAGAAGCATTTTAAAAAGCCATAATTGTTTAATAAACCACAGGGCTTGAACTTGTTTAGAATAGTAAATAGTCTGCTTTCTCCTGTCTGGCATCTCCTTTTTAGCCTCCTCTGAGCACCTTTAGATATGGCAGATTCTGGCTGGGGGAGGGGGAATTAGTATATATAAGAGGATTAAAGGGCAAAATGCTTGGCTTAAAACATACATTTCATTGCTTGGAAAATCCCATCTCGGAGGGGGTAATTTCTTGTATGTTGTGTTTAGGATTTTAACAGGCAAGCAGTATTTTAAGTTTCAACCACAGACATCTGACTTTTGCGGGGTAACTCAGCTCCACTCCCTCTGCAGATGTTGGGTGGACAAAAAAATCAAGGTGTGAGTACAAAGAAAATCTAGCTACACCTCCATACTTAATAAAGTCCTTGATTTACGACAATTGAACCCAAAATTATGTTGCTAGGTGAGACCGTTAAGTGAGTTTTGTTCCATTTTACTACAGTTGTTAAGTTAGTAACATAGTTGTTAAGTGAATCTGGCTTCCCCATTGACCTTGCTTGTCGGAAGGTTGCAAAAGGTAAACCCCATGACCCCGGGACACTGCAACCGTCATAAATATGAGTCAGTTACCAAGGAGATGTCACAATGAACATAAGTGTGAATAACAGTCATGAATCACTTTTTTCAGTCCCACTGTACCTTTGAACTGTCACTAAATGAACCTTTGTAAGTCAAGGACTACCTGTACCCAAACCGCATCAAATGTGGAGACGTATCCTCTATTATTCTGTATGTTCTCTGGAATTCTCTTCTTTCTAGTGTCCATAAAGTGCCTGATTGTGCAACTGGGGGGGCGCCTCCTAAATTCAGCAATTTAACCTTGTCTGCTCTCTGTTAATATTATGCCTCTTTTCCCTCTCCTTTCTCTTCCCATATAATTCATGGGTGTTTACAGTGCATTCATCATTTGACATTTATTTTAATGCCATTGTTGTACTTTATTTTCATTTTGTAATCAGCTTTGAAAGGATTATCTGGAAAGCGTCACAACAACGCATTAAATGAATAAACCATAACCTGCAAGCCACTCGGCCCAAACAACAGTACTTCAACCTTCCTAACTTATGTGAAGTCAGCCTCAAGCTCTGGACTGCAGTCCAGCGCCTCCCAATTTGTGCTGGGTCTCATCTTATGTTGTAAAAAACACCAAGCGTGCTAAGTGATCTTTATTAATAGCCACTTACTTGGATAGTCACCAGCCTTACTACAGCAGGTTTGATTTCCAAGCATTTATGCTTTGAACTTCGGGTTGAGCAGAATTAAAAATATAAGCGACATTTATCTCTGGCCATGCCATGCCGGATCCTCCCATCACCTCTTTGTTGAGACATAGCTTTAAAAAGAAAAAGAAGAAAGAGGCCTAAGAGAGAATTCATAAAATGTTACATAAACAGGGCATTAGCCTGGCTTGTCCATGTGTATTTGCGTTAAATGCAGGTTGTTAAGCTCCTGCTTTTTCATTATGGCTTCTTCCACCCAAAAACACCCCACTGCTTAATGTGAATATTATGACTTCCCATTCAACGGCTTACTCCCCCAGCATCTACCCGTTAAAATCAAGCTTTGACTTCCTGCCCAGACTGGCTAAAGGGCCCGTCTGTCATTCAAGGTTTAGAAAACATTTGTCCAGAGAAGCAATAAAAAAACCTCTCAGATTGTTTCTCCACTGCCCTATTAGGAATAGGTCCAGACACATAGTAAATAATAATGGTTCCCAAACCATACAATTTTCTCCTCTTCCTCCCACACCCAATTTCCCCCCTAGCAAGACAAAAAGAAACAAAAAGCAGCAAAAACTGAAAATTTGCATCCAGTGCACACCATCAAGCTACATCCGACTTCTGAATAAATTTCTGTGCAAATTTATTTATAGATGACCATGTTGTTAATGGACTTTCACATGGCCTAGAAATGTGAAATTTGATACAAAAGGAGCTACAGTGAGATCACCAAACCACGCTAAAAATAAAGACCATTTCCCATTTTTGTTCCCCTGGGCTTTTCAAAGTCTTTGATTTTATCCCCGCTGTTGCCTTTCCGGTGCTTTTTAGTTTATTTATGTTGATGCTATAGCTATTTATTTTATCAGAGTGAGCTGGTCAGAAAATATGTTTTCTGGATGTCCAATATAAATGCTGTGCAGAAATGTTTTGTTAGAGAAAAGGGAAGATGTAAACACTCAGATTTTACACTTTCAGCTCACCAAAATGCTAAAAATGCGTAGATTGAAAATCAATTGCTAGAAATAGGCAGGCATTAAGCATGACATTTATCTTCTAACACAAGGGTGTCAAACTCAATTTCTTTGAGGGCCGTATCAAGGTTGTGTTTGACCTGGGGGCCCCGGGGTGGGTGTGGCCAGCTTGATGTCAGTCGTGTCGGAAATGCCTGTAGTAGTCTGAGTGCTCCGCCAGCGAAAACAGGCTCCCAATCTCAATTTTTGCTTGGGACAGCCTCCCAAGCTCCATTTTTGCTGCAGAGGGTTGCAAGAGGGAGATCGGGAGCCCGTTTTCGCTGGCAGAGGCCCCATGGGCCGGTACTTCACTGTTTCCAGAGCGGCCCCGCGGGCCATAACTAAGCACTAAACACAGCTTGCAAGGGGTTTTCCTCAGGAACTAGGCTACTCTTCAAATTTGACTTCTGCTACCTTGTTTTAGAAAATCTACATATCTTCTAGGTTCAATGAAGTACATTTTTATTCAAATCAGCTTTAGACCCAGGGGAACGTACAGATGTCTATGGAAGTTGATCCAATTAAATCCATAATGAGATTGTTAAGGGTAGACATCCAGTCAAAGAAGTCTAATAAAACCAGTATTTAGCAGCATAGCAAATGTAAGTCTATCACCCTGCAGAAAACATGTCTGGTATCTCCTATTCGGTCCCCACTGTGGGCAGAAACACAAGGGAGAAGGATTTATGCAACACTGGGAAACTTTAAGGCAAATATAATCCCGCCATTGCATCATGTTACAGAGGCAGTGCCTTAATGTAGGAAATTCAGTTACATTAGGCAAAAGGAAGCAAGGCTGCACTAATCAGCAGCAATATAACAAAGAGCACATTACACAAGCACATTGTGGGACTTTGAAATATCTCAGAAAGCATGCATTTCCAAGAGTATCCCTATTGCAACAATTCCCTGATTTAACCCCAACACCTGCTCCTCCGTTTGAAAGCTCTTGCAGTACAGTTTCTGAAGCATCGTCCAATTGTGTTACCTTGTTATGAACTACAAGGCAACCAGTGAGATTTGGTTTTCTAACCATTCAAAGCAGGGGTGCAAACCTTTGTTCCCTCCAGTAGCTTGCAGATGTTCTCACTTTGAGGTATCACTTAATGAGCTGGCAGTGGGAGGTGAGGTGCATTTAAGTCCCTGGCATTTAATTTTAATTACACGCATACTTCAATTTTTGCACTGTTCACTTCAGCCCTCCGCATGTCAATCAAAGTGTGGCTTTGGGTCCCACTGAAGGCTGTTCAAGATTAAAGGATTTATGAGACATTTAGAATTGATAAAAATGCATGTGGATGGTTTGCATGCACGNAAAATTTCCCTTACCGGTTCTCCAGAACCTGTCACAACCTGCTGAATTTCACCCCTGAGCTATTCCATTATGTCCACTCCAGTTGGTGACTTTAAATTGTCTTATTAAAATGGTCCTTCTGTAAAACTACATTCCTGGAAGCTCAAACCAGCAACTCAACTTCTATTGAGCCAAAATAGATTTCAAATCAAAGTGACACCTGAGCAGATTTTGGACCAAAACAAATAGTTAAGATGTCAGGCTAAAATTTGGGATGAAAGATTCCAGATTAAAATCCCCATATAGTGATCCGATTCTGACACCATTACTGTCATCCTTTCCCAGAAGCATAAATTAGGGATTGAAAGAGAAAATTACCCATCCTCTCCAAGCTTCTTGGAAGAGAGATCACAGGTGGGTAACAAAATTAAAATGAATCTCAGAAGTAACTTGATACAGAGGCACACAGAATTAAGATCCTTATATTCATGCAGTCATGAAGAGATCGTTAGTTGAGGAATAGGAGTATGTTATGTTGTTTCTTCTGCTATGTTTTTTCCTTTCTTTTGAATGTTCCCTGATGTAATCTAAAATTCTAGACCACTTAACTATCTCAGCTGGCACTGCCAAATCATTAGGAGGGTCTAATATTAATTTAGTGAAAGGCTCTATCAAGTAGGAAATAGAAGTCTGCTTCCATCAACAGTAGGGGAAGGAATACAAAATGAGCAAATTTCTTAAAGATCTGGAGGGAGCCAGTTTGTTCTAGAAGGAGGGGTGTCAAACTCGCGGCCCACAGGCCGGATTAATCCCGTGCTGGCCACGCCCACTCCCAGTTTAGCGAAGGGGGTGGAAGTCCCTATACGTCACATGACACCACCATAACATCGTGAGTTTGACACCCCTGGTGTAGAGGTTAAGGCACCAGGCTAAAAAGTGGGAGACTGTGAGTTCAAATTCCACTTTAGCCATGAAAGCCAGCTGAGTCACTCTTTCTTGGTTGTTGGGGGGGAAATAAGAGGAGGAAGATGTGTTGGATATGCATGTTCAATATGTTTACTGCCTTGAGTTATTTATAAAAAATCGTAAATGTAGAATGCAAATAAATAAATAGAAATCTTCTACTCATATGATGATAAAAAAAGGGATTTATCTGATCTGATTGGATTGGAACTCTTCCAGTTGGGCCATACTGACACAAGGTACAGCAGCAAGGCAGACTCAAGTCCCAAAGAAGTACAGGTAGTCCTCGACTTACAACAGTTCATTTAGTGACAATCTGAAGTTACAAAAGCACTGAAAAAAGTGGTTTATGACTGTTTTTCACCGACCATTGCAGTATCCCCCATGTATCCACAAGTGACCAAAATTCTGACGCTTGGCAACTGACTCATATTTATGACAGTTGCAGAGTCCCGGGGTCATGTGATTCCTTTTTGCAACCATCAGACGAGCAAAGTCAAAGGGGAGGGCGGATTCACTTAACAGCTGTGTTACTAACTTAACAACTGCAGTGATTCACTTAACAACTGTGTACATGAAAAGTTGTAAAATAGGCAAAATTCACTTAACAAATGTTTCATTTAGCAACAAAAAATTTGCTGCTCAATTGTGGTCGTAAGTCAAGGACTGCCTGTAGTGGTGGTTGGCAGCTTAACCTAACCAATACTGGTCTAGGAATTCTGGGAATTGTGGTCTCAATATACTGGGGGGACACTCTGTTGGGGAAGACTGCTGCATGGTCTTTTCAGTGGTGGCCCCCTAACTGAGAAATTGGACAACTTGGATAAATGTTTATGGAGATCCTCAATCATCCAGGTCATGTTGTCCCAAAGGTGCTTTTTCCAAGAGACAACTGGACTTTGTTTTTTCTTTGAAAACATTTCGCTTCTCATTCAAGATGTTTTTCTGTTTTAGTAGGTTTTCAAAGACAAGAAAGTCCAGTTGTCTTTTAGAAAAAGCACCTTTAGGTTGTGCATTTGCAGACCAAGTGAAAACTATTATTAGATTACTGCATTAGTTATAAAACCTGCAACCCTCTTTGCTGCTGCAAGAAATCTAAAGCAGCCTAAGTCCTCCAGTCTTTAGAAAACATGAGTTTTCTTGCATGCTGCTATCTTTTTTTTATTTTAAGAATGGATGTCGTATTTTATACTTTAAGAATGGATGTCGTATTTTATATAATGTAATGGATTTATCAAGCAAATTTATATAGCCATCCAACTCATGTGTAGGTGACTTTATGAGTTTATTGCCATTCTATGAATTACTTGAAGAGTTTTGGCATCGCAGACATGCAACTACAGATAGTCCTCAACTTAGAACGATTCATTTAGTGACCATTCGAAGTTACAAGGGCACTGAAAAAATTAACTTATGGCCAGTTTTCACACTTACAACCATTGTAGCATCCCCATGATCACATGATGAAAATTCAGGCATCTGGCATGAATTGATGATAGTTGCATAGTCCTGGGCTCATGTGATCACCATTTGTAATCTTTCCAGCCGGATTCCAAAAAGCAAAGTCAAATGGGAGGAAAATCAGATTCACTTAATGACCAAATGATTCACGTAACGACTGTAGTGTGGCAAGAAAACTCATAAAATGGGGCAAAAATAACTTAAGTGCTGCCTTAATAATTAAAAGTTGGACTCAATTTTGGTTTTTAAGTTGAAGATTTACCTGTAATACATTGATAGAACACACACCTGCTTTTTCAAAAACCTGTTTGGCCCTTTTCTTTCTTTTAAATCTAATACAAAAGGCGAACCACTTGCCAACAGGAGTCAATATTTTCTCAAATGACGATCAATGATTCATCCACAATACGCAACAAACATTGATCCTGAAGTCCAATTTCTTTTCCCACCAGGCAATCCCCAGGCTACTATAATTCAGAAAGAGGGAGGGCAAGCTGCCCATTCTTCACTTCCCATTGCTGATCCACCCTCTCTCCAGGTTTAAGGGACAGAAAATCCTGTTTTTCTTTTTTTTACACACAACAATAAGCTCCTTTAACTTAGAGTAGAAATGTATTCCCAAATTAAGGATTTATGTATGTATCATATTTAGAGACTGCCCATATCTCCACTTACGGAATGACTATTAATATCACACCTGTATTATTTTTATAAATCACTCAAGTCAGTGTACATACCGAATGTTCCTTCCTCTTCCTATTTTCCCCGACAACAATCCTGTGAGGTAGTTTGAGCTGAAAGAGGGAGAGAGAGACTGTCCCAGGTTCACCCAGCCGTCGTTGATGCCTAAGGCAGGACTAGAACTCACAGTCCCAAAAGACGAGAGATCTGGGAATCCATCCACAGAATCTAACTCACTTCTTAAAAGCATCTAATTTTACCCTATCAAAGCAGAATTCCTAAATGTGGCTTTTTTTTGTTTGTTTGTTTAAAAGAGAGTCAAAACTCATGATTCCTTTCCGGGGAGGAAATGAAATCTCTGTGCAGTGCACGAACTCAGGATTGCAGCAAAAAAGCCCCACTGACTTCTACCTTCCATGGACGATGTTTGCATGCAGAGCACATCGTAGGGAGACACACAAATGTGCGCGTGCACACATATGGTCTTCTACAATGCACCGTCTTGCACAGACCAGCCAATCATATTGACGGCCCTTTTTGCTAGTAAATAAATAATGCAGCAAGGTGCGGGTTGAAAAGCAGGGAGGTGGGAAGTCGAAGGAAAAGATCAGGGGATGCTGTGGTCTCTGAGTAAAGGGGTTCCCTGCATCCAATCACACAGCATAAAAACGCTCCTTGCACAGCCATACACACCTACAATGAGAGGGCCAAGCCATTTTGCTATTCCAGGCAGAGAAATGAATATTGTCTCTTCCGCAGAGAAGATTCAAGGCGATTTTAGCACCCGCCCTCTGCCCCCCCCCCGCAGAAAAATCCCACAAGCAACTCCCTGGCAATTAAAATAATCCAATAACATCAGATCATCCATAGTCTGCTGTCCCTTCGTGACACCCATTACCAGTTGTCTGAAGCCGCCAGCTCAACTCCCATCTAACCACAGAAGAGACACAGCACGTGGCTTCTTTGGCGAGTCATTAATAAGGAAGCCCATTGATTAAGAACCGAAGGGCGGGTAGAAACGTGCAGCCCCATCCGGAACCATTTACAAACCCGCCTCCATGCAGCCAAACAACCATCCATCAGTCAGGCAGCCATCAGGATGGGACAAATGCCATTTCTGAAGCCTGCCAGCCAGCCAGCCATTGGCACAGGTGGAAGCACAGAGAAAAAAGGTCAAAGGGAGATTCCCCCTCCCATCCCTTCCTCCCTGGCATTTTCGGATATTCTTGTGAATGACTCCCTGCTTCCATTAAGACTCATGAGCTTCTCTCAGGAATTGCCCGATTCACAGAAACAGGGGAAATTATTAGCTTTCCCACCAGGAAGATGGAAAAGGTGGATCTAGCTAAATGTTGTGTGTATCCGTGTCTATGCAAAGAATCCTGATGCTGCATGCAAGAATAGAATAGAATAGAATTCTTTATTAGCCAAGTGTGATTGGACACACAAGGATTTTGTCTTTGGTGCATATGCTCTCAGTGTGCATAAGGAGAATAAAATACATTCNATTTAGTGTAATAAGCAACTCATCTGTAATTCAAAGGATAGGATTTTTTTCCCCACGTACTGAGTCTCTCACAGAAGAGGTCACTTTTTGCTACTAGTGGTTGCCAGTATCTTTTTCTCTCTCTCATTTTTTATTTTATTTTTATAACATATAAAAAATCAATTTTCCCAAACAGTTGTCTGGGTACAACTGTTTTTTAAGCAATCATAATCAAAGTGTTTACAATAGTATTCATCACAATAACATTAATACTTTAATGACAATAATATTTCACTTATCTACTTTCACAAATCTCCATTTTAACATCCTTTTTACGTCCCCACATTTCTAACTTCTGTTTCTTTTATCTAACCATTGGTAAAATAGATCCCTTATAAAAAAAATATTCAGTTTCTTCTTTGTCCTTCAAAGTAAGCATTGGTCTATCCATTTCTGCACATTCTAACATTTTCTTAATTACACTCTCACCTGTCGTTATCTCATCATTCTTCCACTGTTGTGCAAATACAATTCTAGCTGCAGTTAATACATGCAAAATCAAATATACTAGAGATTGCCAGTATCTTTATGGGACTCCAAAAACCATCATTATCTGGGTTCACAGAAAAATAATAATCCATGCTAAGCAGTTTCTATCAAACAATTTGCCATTAGTGCCTCCAATTTAGTCTGGATCACCAACTACTTTAGAGATACATGTCTTGACATCCTTTCAGCTCAAGAAAGACCATTCTGGAGCACCAATGAATTTCAGAAGAGCTTGATCATATATAGCTTAACACAAGACGTGACCTCTCAATGAATGACGTCAAATCATTGTTAGCCTGCGATTCTGTATTAGGCAGTGCTATCTCCAGATATTTAAGATATTTGCACATTTTGGAGCCCTTCCCTACACCAATGGAAGCAGGGTCCTTTTTCCTACATGATAGAGCCTTCTACTAAATTAATAACCCATTCTGAATTACAGCCCAGGGCAATGTTGATGACTCAGCCTGCCTATGCCTGTACAACTTGAGCTGCATAAATCTTTTGAAAGGGGGGCTTTAGAATGTCAAGACATGTATCTCTCTTGGGGCTTCATGGCTGCTTCAGAAATGATTTCTTGATGTCCGTAGAGGTTATCTGCATTTGCAGAGATAGCATGAAGCAGCTTCTGAAACAGTTTTGATTTATTTTATCAAACCTGTAAAACTATTATGCTTTAATTGTTTGAAAGGAGGTGCTTAGATGCCGAAATTAAAATGCCGAATTAAAACATGCCGAAATTTTGTCCTACTGTCAGGTGGTATACATGTGTGTCCCAGAAGCTGTCCGGTCAGATTGTTCAAGATTAATTTTTATTTCCTTCCTTGGAAGCTAGTTACTCTCCTAAAACTCTTGTGAGATACAAACTGTCTTGTCTTTAAGCAGTTGGTAGAAAGTAAAGACCACATCTCGCACAGGTCCCAGGGAATTGCTTTGTAATAAACAACATATAAATTCAATAAATAAAATAAATAATATTTTCAACAGTTAAAGATGATGATAAGAATGAGAAAATTAAGTCTATGTTCTGTCTGATCTTGTTTTTAAAAGTGAAATTGACCTTTTCTGATTTCCCTCTTTTAGAATATATATATATATATATATATATNCCCCCCCCCGCTTCAACAGCTTCACAAATAGCCAAGCAAAACACACACGCGTGTCTGGGAAATGGCTTGAAGAGGTTCGAAGCCGGGACCCGTAAAAGCTCTACACTCTGCGGGTGCAAATCTTTCACTAACCGAGGCGCCGCATAAGGAGAATAAAATGCATTCTTCAAGAATAAAAAGATACAACGCTTACTGATACTCATAGGGTACAAATGAGCAATCAGGAAACAATATAAATTATAAAGATACAAGGGAAAGGGAGGGTTGCGTGCATCTTTCTCTCAACCCCCCCCCCCAAGGAAAACACTTGCTATTCAAAAGCAAAATGATGGGGGAGGGAAAAACTAGCCACAAATCAAAATACAAAATAACATCTCTCTTCCCCTCCCACTCCACCTCCAAATACCCGGCTTAACGACCACCTACACTCCCCAGATCCTTAAGCAACGAAGAGAACAAGGGAAACCGAAAGGAAGGGGTGGAAATGTGCAGGATGGGGGGGAGTGGGGGCAGCGTGGGATGTACTCACCCCCCCGCTTCAACAACTCCACAAACAGCCACGCAAAACACACACGCGCGCGCGTGTCTGGGGAATGGCTTGAAGAGGTTCGAAGCCGGGACCCGTAAAAGCTCTGCACTCTGCGGGTGCAAAGCTTTCACTAACCGAGGCGCTGCCAATGGAAACAGGTCGGGGGTGGGGGGAGACAGAAGGGGAAACCCGCGGCTAGGCAGTCCGGCTATCCACGCGGGCGCCCGGCCCCACACTTCCCCCTTTGCAAAAAGGCAAAGGCGAAGCGGGGAAAGCAGAGCCAGACCCGAAGGCGGTTTGAGGGGGTTAAAGAGGACGCGAGGGGCCGGAGAGGAGCGGGGCGCAGCTCTTCTTACCCGGCTTGGAGAGGCATGGACGGTGGGGTGGGGGGCTCCCGGCTCGGACCTCCTCCTTTAGCGGCCTCTGAGTCAGGGCGGAAGGACGGCCGGAGCGACTCGGGCGAAGAAGCCGCGCACAGCGCTCCGAGAAGCAAGCGGCACAAGGGGCGCCCCCGCTGCCGCCTTCCAGCCTCCCTCCGTCTCCTCCCAACTCGCGGCTAAAAGAGGGTTTAAAGGGACCGGCGGGCGGCGAAAGAGAAAGCCGTCACGTGACGACGAGCCCGCTTTGCCGCTCCCGCTCCAGTGTGCCTCTTGGTTACAAAAGCGGGGAGGTCCTCTGGGCGTGTGCAGAGTGCCGCCTTCATTAAACCCAAGTGGGGCCGAGTTTCCTTTTTTTTTNGGCTGGCTCATATTTAAATGAGTTCAAATTTTAAATTGTTCATGTCCATGTTTATATTTATACCTGCTATCTTGTACATGTTTGGCAAACTAATACATACGAATATGGCAGGAATAGTTCTGGGCTCTGCTGTTGTCCGTACACACAAAACTACAAGAGCAACAATGTGTGAATTCCCTCGCCGTGCTCCACGCCCCTTACTCATAGGCAAGTTACCATGCAAAGAAAGTTTCTTGAACAGGACTACCAAGGAAGCAATGTCTAATTTCCCACAATATCAATCTTGCTGTTACACTTAGGAAATTGGAACATAAAATTAAATTGAAATGCCATAACATTACATTGGTTATTGGAGAGCAAGTTATTTATGGCTTGTGAGAAACAAATTCTCTGTGCTGTAGAAGACTTGGGTCTGTATGAAATCATTGCAAACACCATTGCTGGGGAATTGACTAATTCCGTGATGGTGAACCTACTGGCCAGATGGTCTTTGAGTCTCAGATGTCCATGCGCAGGGTACGTGGCACGTATGGGGGAGAGCGTGTGCATGCATAGGGTGTGGGATGTGTGTGGGGAGCTCACACGCATGTGGGGGGTGAGGGGTGGGCGGGAGGCGCACATCTGCATTGCATTTTGGGGGTTCGGGTACGCATGTACTTTAGCCACTCAGCCCGGAAAAGGTAAGCTGTCACTGGACTAAGTTATTGGCTTTCAACTGAGCAGTCTGTCTGGGCTTGTCTGCTGAAATGAATCTAACTTCCTTCTGTTTACTTGAAAGAACCACCTGTTGGTATTGTACATTTATTCATCTATTCTTATATATGTAAAGAAGTTAATGAATTCAACTGAATCAGTTATCTGTGTGTGGTTTCTGGATTTGAATTTATGCAACAAACTCTGACAGCCCAGCACTGGGTCATGGACTGGGGGTTGGCCGGGGGTGGGGGGCTCTATTAAACCGTCCATTCATCTGAAAACTGATTTTCCACTCAGGAGAAATTTCTTGCTTATAAGCAACTGTTCTGGTCAAGTTATTTGGATTTATATCTGGGATTTGGTGCAATTCAACAGGGGGCAATCATAAAAGCTTTTGGATTACAGCAACTCTCTGAAAACCACGTCTGGCTGTTTAAGACGGGTAGAAGATATTACCCAGTCCTATCACAAGTTGGCAGCAAAAGACAGATAGAAAATATTATTTTTCCTGCCACCTTGTGGTTATCTGGATATTTGCAGCCCAGATCTAGCAATCTTAGTGCTCCTAGTACCCAAACGTCAAAGGATTGGAAGGAGGAACGGCTGAGGATTTTGCAATTCACAAAGAATATTAATCCACGCCACCAAGGAGCATCATTCTTATCTCCTTAAAGATAAGAATCAATTTAACAGCATGAGTTTTCCTATCAAATCCTAGCAGAACACAAATTGCCTGAGAAAAGATCAAAGCATTGAGGTGTGTTTGTGTGTGTGTGTGTCTGCATGCACCCATGTACACATAGACACAGGCACACACAGAAAGAGAGACTGTTGTGACACTAGAGGTAGCTGTTAGCTGACATCCGGCTGTCAAAATACTTCAGGGTTAACTTTCATTCCTTTGGGGGAATGTAAATTACATCACAGTAGATGTAGCACCTTGTCTTGAGATTAAAAAAAAATGCAGGTACATTTTCAAGAGGGCAAGAAGATTAAAAACAAAAAAGCTGTCCAGAAAGCCATTGTGTTTGTGTGTGTGTGTGTGTGTGTGTGAGAGAGAGAGAGAGAGAGAGAGAGAGAGAGAGACAGACAGACAGACAGACACAGAGATACAGATATACAGACAGAGAGATACAAACAGAGAGAGACAGAGATACAGACAGAAAGAGAAAGACAGAGACAGAGAGAAATGGACAGACAGAGTTACAGAGATACAGGCAGAGAGAGAGAGAGAGAGACAGACAGACAGACAGACACAGAGATACAGATATAC